CGGGCCCCAGCCCTGCAAGGGCACAACCCTGGACGCCCTTCGCAGCCCTTCGTGGTGGCGCGGACCGCCGGGGACCTCTGGGAGAACCGGCAAGTGACAGGGCCGCCCGCCGCTCCCCACTGCACCCAGGAATGGGGGCCCCAGAACGAGCGGAAGCGCTGGCCCCTCTGCACGCACGGGGAACTTTGGCCTTACTTCGCGTCAAGAGGGTATTTTTCCTAAACGAAACCGCTTCATTCGTTTGCTCGTTCGTTTGTTCGGGCAGCTATGATGTAGAAAAGCAACAGACGTCGGCCAGAGCCCCGGCTGTCTTCGCGGCGCACCCCGAAGTCCCGCCGCAGTGCTTGGAGGCGCCCCCAGCCCAAAGCGGCCTGCCCTAGCCGCCACCGTCAGGTTTTTCCTTACCCTAAGAGAAACCCCAAGTGCTCTTCGCAAAATCCAATAAAGATATTCCCGCAGCTTCTCCAGGGTTTGGTTGTTGACGCAGGGTTCCCGAGCACGCAGCCGCTTCTCTAGAACCGGGTCTCGGAATTATGAAATTGACCAGCCTCCTAAATCTGAGCTGATTCCGCCGTGGTTAAGCAGGGCCCCCGGCGGCCGGGATCGCAGAAATGGGAACCTCCAGCGAGTCTTGGTTCCAATGTTTTCTAATTTAGGAATTCCCTTAATCAAAGTATTTGAATCCACTTTTCTGAGAAACCAGGGCTCGGGTATTCTCTTGGCAGCCCAGTGGCCTCTGACAGCCACGGGGCCGGCCCAGAGGGTGGCAACCCCAGGTTGCTGTCCACTTGGTGGAGGATACAGGTCGAGAATAATGACAAAAGCTACAGGCAGTGGGGGGCAGCCCAAGAGGTGGACTCACTGGCCTCCAGCCTTTTCCTCAGACTGCTCTGGAAGCCCTCACCTCTGTTGAAAAAGGAAAAAAAGTGGTCTGGGGCATATAGACCCGGTGCCGGACTCTGGGATGTTGAGGTGGCTCTCGTTGACCTTCAGGCCAGGCTCAGCGTGCCCTTCCATTAGGAAGGCAGCTGCTGGGAAGAGGAGGCTGTGTACACAAAAGCTGACCCTCTGCTTCCCAGCTGTGTGAACAGCCACTGCCACTTTCCCAGCCTGCTCTTCCCCTGGCTCAGCCATTCTCAGGAACTACAGAGTGACCGGTGGGCTTGGGTGAGCCGTGAGCCTGGAGAGCAATGGGCTCTACCAGCTGCTCAGCGAGTTCTGAGTTTCCTGCTCCCAGTACATCTCAGCTCTTCTCATTGGGACAGGCTGGGGAACCCCGACTGAAAGGAAGTCGCAGGCTGGGGACCTGAAAGCTGAAAGGATCCATTCCCAGCCACCTACCTGAGAGCCCCTTTCCCATCACCCAGAAACTGCTTTCAGTCAAAGAAACAATGATTTTTATTGGGGAGGGGATGTTAGATCTGGCAGAAGGAGGTAGGTGGTCCCGGCTGCACTCCCAAAACTGGGTTTTCTAGTTTGAACTTCTCCACGGCCTAAGAGGCTTAGGGCTGGAATGTCCCAGAGAGTCACGGATGGCCCCGGAGGCAAGCCATGGCACATTCCTTTCCTTTTCCTAAAATCCCTTGATTCTGGTGCAAAGATTAGGACAAGGTACCCCTGTGAGTGGGTGGAAGGATGCCCTCTAAGAGGACCCTCCAATCACCCTTCCCAAAGAAAATGACTAAGCCATTCTTGGGCAGAGTCTGTTTTCTGTAAGCCCAGCCTCAGGAAGGGTCCCTGTGGTGATTATTTCAACCCGACAAGAGCCCAGGCTTCTCTGCTGAACCCAGCCAGGACTGTAAGCCCCAAATTTCCTGAAAGTCACAGAATCATTGCTAGCTCTGTGTGGCCTGAAGGGTTGGTTCCAACCCCAGTAAGCCCGCTTCCCTTCTTTCCTCATGTCCCATCATCTGGTGAGGTGGAGGCTGAAGCAGCATGTCCCATGTCAGACTTGGGAGCTGCAGCACAGTGCAGGTCACGCCTTGCCCAAGGTCACACAGCAAAAGCCAGGGGAACATTGAGTCCCGGCTCTGACTCCTGAAAGAGAGCTGCCTCCTGTCTCATGTGTGTGTGTGTGTGTGTGTGTGTGTTGCATCTGTGAGTGTGTGCAAGAAGCCCCTATTCTGCCTGGGATAGCAGCCAGGGGAGAGAGCGGCTGAGGAAGAAGCCAGAGCACCCCAGGTCCCTTCTGCAGCCAGCACCCAAGATCAGGCCAGGGCCTCCTCTGGATCAGTCAGTTCCTCACCCCTACTCCTTCAGCGCTGACCGGGTCAGCCCCCACTAGTCTCAGCTCCTCTCTAGGGCTCAGGGCCCCAGGATATGGAGCTTCACCCGCAATAGTCTGAGGACTTTTCTGTCCACACAGCAGGCATCAAGATTTCCAAATATAGGGATTATTGTGACTGCTTGCAGCCCTGCCAGAGGCTTGGATCTGGAGGGGCACACAGCAGGTGCTCAATAACTGCATTACATGCATCAACAGTGAGGGGCACAAGTCCCTCAGACTGAGTAGCTAGCACTGCAGAGTCACAAAACAGTCCCCATCCACGGAAGGCCTGACTCTTTAGACCCTCTGGGGAGTGTGGGGCTGTGATGGCCAGCCTCCGGATGCCCAAAGGCAGACCATTCATTTCACGACCCCTCCCAGAGGAGCGCTGTGCTTCCCACCTTGGCCTGACACCTGGTGGGCTTAGATCACACCCCTCTCAGCCAGATTTCGTGCCAGATAGCATCAGTGTTCTGTAGCTCAGAGGCCTGGTTGTGTGTACACATATGTGACTGTATTCAGCACTCCCCTGTGTGGGCGCAGTGAGTGTGTGTGTGTGTGTGTGTGTACAGCACACCTGTACAGGTATGCAGTACATCTAAGTATGTGCATGCTTCTGTGACTCTGGCAGGCTGGGTGGCTCACTGTCCCGTCGAAGTAAGGCAGCTGCCAGGACGGTGGCTTGCAGAGGGGCACTCACTGGCATGGCATAACACCTAAATACATCCTTGAAAGGAGGTATTGCTCCTGCAGGAGATTCAACTGGAAACTGTGGTCAAAGATGGGGCTGGGGCCAAATGCTCAGCCACCCCTGTTCCCAGTGTCCATGGACCCCTCCCCATTCCCCTACACACCAAGTCTACTTTCACCCTGGGGGTCTCAACCTACAGAAAATTACCTTTGGAGAAGTTGGAGCCACTCCCCCAACCCAAACTCCTGGATGCATTCTCCTCTGGCCCAAGCCTCAGAGCTTGCCCCTCTGTGGTCACAGGCACCCAGGGAGAGTGGGCCGGCCCCTAACAAACTGCCTACTCCCCAGGACCCAGAGCTGGGGGCCTTGGGCTGGGGCCAAGGGAGTGAGAGGCAGGCCTGGTTCTACCCTGCCCACGCCCCTGCCCCCACAATCCACACCAGAGATCTCAGCCTGAAGTGGAAGCAGGTGACTGCCAGGGTGATAAGGAGCCGGGTGAGGGCAGGGACTGCTGAGGGTCCCAGACCCTGACAGCTGGCACAGTCAGCCCCAGGCAGAGATCCCAGGAGAAAACTAAGATGCCCTGGGCCCTAGCGTGAGGCACTGGGCCTGCAGATGACCACAGCGCTTCTCCAGGCCTCACACACAGCCCCCACCGCTGTCCTGCTCAGTGCTGCTTCTGTCTGATGGGGCACACAGACGGGGGCGGGGGGGGGTGCAAAGGGCACCCTGGGGTCCACCTGTGGCTAGAGGAACAGGTCAGGGCTGCACCCTACCACCCCAGCTGTCCCCTATTTGCTCAAGACTCTGACATCTCAGGACCAGTTAACAATTGTTAAGCAAAATCCTTCAACAAACTTCAGTGAAGTAGGAGGATTCAAGGAGGGACTCATTCTAAGGGATGGGAAGGGGAATGTGTGTGTGCTCATGGAGGGCCCACTGGTGCTGCAGCTTAGCTACCGTTGTAGCTAAGAGAAGCTCCAAGACTGTCCTAGGCTTCCTGGCCTGCTGGCCTAGGTTTGGAAACTGCAGTCACCTGGCCTGCCGGGCCTGTGCCTGCCACCCCTGAGAAGCCAAAGTGAGGCCCCAGGCCCTGCGAACCTGCCGGGAAGGAGGCAGAGAGGGGCCCACCCTGTGGTAGCCAAGGCCGGGACCTGGCGGGTTTGGCCAGACCCTTGAAGGTGCAAAACAAGGGGAGAGAAGAGGCTGTGGGGGCCTGGCAGGGCTCTTGGGGTCTCCTGCTGCACTCGACAGCGGCCTGGAGCCAACAGAAACGTTTCGTCTGATTAGAAGCCATCAGTTCTATCCCAATCCCGGAAAATTGACTGCGGTGCAGAGGGGGTAGGCCTGAGAAGCAGCCTTGGGGGAGAGGGTCCAAGCTAATTAGGAGGCAGCATCCGGGGGCCCATTAGAGCGCAGGCTGCTGTCACTCAGCCTGGCTCGGGTCCCGGGAGAAGAGGCCGGGGAAGGAGGGGCCGCGGCCCCTCGATGAGGACGCCGCTGGGAGCTGCCGGAACGAGCCCTGGGCTCTGCCCCCGCCCTGGCGCTGACTCGCAGGCGCCCGGTCGGTTGGATCCTGCTCGGTGAACGTTCACTCATCGCGGGCTGTTCTCGCCGGGGGCTCGGAACTTCGAGGCGGCCCAGACAGGAGTTGATTTCTGAGCGAAACAAGTCATTTGGGGCTTGAGGTGGGCACGAGCCGCGCGGGACTTGCAAGCCAGATGCGTTTCTTTTGTGCGGCCGAGGGAGAACTCGGCGTGCCACCGGGGAAGGAGGGTGAGGCGCGGCGAGGCCGCGGGAGGGGGGAGGCGGCGGGAAGGTGGCTGCGGAGGGGGAGGGCGCGGGCGAGGCGGGCAGAGAGGGAGGGAGGGCGGCAGAGAGGGCGCGGCGGCGCGGGCGGCTCGGGGCTGGATTCCGCCCGCGCTCCCTCGCCTGCTCGCTGGCTCCCTCCCTCCCAGCCCCCTCCCACCCAGGCCCACCCCACCCACCACCCCTGGCGCAGGGACTGCTGGAACCTGGCGGTGCGCGCTGTCGCTTTAAGACAGACTCTGCCGGCGCCGTCCGGAGCCTTAGAAACCGGCCCCGGATCGGGAGCCGGAGCCGGGGCCGGGCGGGCGGCTGAGGCCCGAGCGGCGGGAGCGCAGCGCGGAGCGCGAAGCCGGGCCCCCGGGTCGCGAGAAACCGCTGCCGCTGCCGCCCGCCTGGCCCCGCAGCCCCGGGCGCCCCATGGGGCGAGCGCGGCGTCGTTGCGGGCGCGGGCAGCCCTGGGGGGCAGCCGCTTAGGGGCTGCGCTCTTGTCCTCGCAGGTCGCTGCCGGGGCGGCCGGGCGCGCCCAGCCCCGGCCCCCGGAGCGCCCGCCTCGGTCCCCGCCTCCATGGACGCCTTCAAGGGGGGCATGAGCCTGGAGCGGCTGCCAGAGGGACTCCGGCCGCCACCGCCGCCGCCGCACGACATGGGGCCCGCCTTCCACCTAGCCCGCACGGCCGACCCCCGCGAGCCTCTCGAAAACTCCGCCAGCGAGTCGTCCGACACGGAGCTACCAGGTAAGAGCGGCTCCCCGCGAGACGCGCGCGGAACCACCCTGGCGCGGGGAGCCGGGAGCAGGGCCGCGCCCCGCAGCCGGGCTCGCTGTACGCCCCAGGAGCGTCAGGACCTTGCCTTTTCCCGTTCTCCATCTGACGATGAACGTGGACATGGACGCGCTTTATGAAACGGAAATTTTAGTGCTTTCCCAAGGCACTTCCACGCGGTCCCGTCGCGCCAAGTGACCGGCCGTTGCACGAACCTACAACCGGAAGGTCGGAATGACAGCCTCTCTCGATCAGGAGCAAATAGAGCGGGGAGAAAAGTTAGGTTTGCGCAACTGGTTGTCCAGGGGGGCGCTGGAACCGAAGGAGAGGAGCATATCAAAGAGGAATGGGCGGGTGGGCGAGAGAAAGTGCCCAGAGAAACAGTACAGACACCCCGACAGACTGGGCGACTGACTGGAAAGGGGCAAACCAAAGAGAAGGTATGGCGGGCAAAGTCAGAAAAGCAAACTGGGGGCAAGAAAAACAACCTTAAGTAAAAGGAAAAGAGAGGACAGCGAGGGCAAGCGGGCCAAGAGGCGCCGCCCGGCTCGGATATAGGACCCCCCAAAAGAAGGATCCCCGCCGCACGTGCGCCGCGGGAGCCGGGAGCCGCCAGGCCGCCCATGCAGGGCTCCGACTCGGCTCAGGCACGTCTCCTTCCGCGCTGCGTTTTTGTCGGAGTTCAAGCTATTTTTCCCCCCAGCAACTGCTGGACCGGCGGGTGGGCGGCGCGGGCAGCACCGAGGCTAGTCCCTCGCCTTGCCCGGACTCCCGGGTCTCCGCACGGCTCCGGCGCTCTCGGTCCTAGTTCGGCGCCGCCGCTGAGCTCCCCACTCCCCGGGCCTTGGGCTCCTCTTCTGCGTTCATTTCTTAATCCACCGCTGAGTGTTTCTCTACGCGTTTGTAATCTCTATTTGTTTCTGTTTTGCATCCCTAAGTGACTTTCTCTGAGAGGTTCTGTTTGGTTGGTTAAAAAACAATCAACGCTGGACGGTACTTTTGTTTTCAAAAGTTTTAACCGTGGCCTTTGGTTGGTTTTTATTTTTAAAAGCCCGGAGAAATATATAATTACAGATTGCTCTTTTTAAAAAAAAAAAAAAAAAAGGTCTATGAGAATAGATTTAAATTTTTAACTGTATATTTCGATGTAGAAAGAACTGCTATTCTAGGTACATTTTCAAATTAAAATTTCTACATTATTCAAGAGATTTTAAAAAGTCAATCCAAAATGGCGCATTTCTCCGGGATTTTCTCAAAATCCACTTACAGTGGTGGTACTTGCGGAATTTAAGTTACCTAACAATAGTGTTGTATTTCCCTGGGATTTAAAAATTACCTGGGGAAGGGCATTATCCAGAAGGGGTTAAAAAAATCTATCTACAACACTACGTTGATTTTTTAAAAATCCCAGATAAATAAATGCCTGTGCCTGCCTGGAGCTTATAAACGTACAGCACTGTATTTAGTTAGGAGTGTGTTTGCATGGAGGTTTCTGGCTTCTCAATTTGCGTTCGCTGTGTTTCTGTCTGCCTATTTTTAAGAGTTTCTGACCCTTTCTGTGTTCTTACCCATAGAGCTGTTAGCTTTTCTGGGATTCAGTGTTTTGGTTTTAAATCCTTTTTCTTTATGTTTCAATGTTTCTTTGACTGTGTTTTGTGTAGCTTGAGAGAGCAAGACTAGAGCTCCCAGGTCACCTAGACAGAGTCTGTGGGTCTGGGCTGCCCGGCAGCCGCCAGAGGGATTTTCTGGGCCTTGGGACTTGAGGCCTGGAGCTAAGGCCGAGAAACCGGCTGTGCTGTGCCTGCCCGGTTCAGTGGGGCTCCGGCTCGGGCCGGGGAGAAGAACGTGCAGGCCACCGCCTGGCTCTGACTCCAGGGATCCCCTAGCTTCAAGCTAGAAAAGTCTGATCCTAGTTCAGAAAAGCAGAGATCTCTTCCGATTTAGAACCCCCAAGAGCCCTAAAAACTGTGCATTTTCCGGTGGCATCAACAGTAGGGCTCCAGCGTGTGCCGAGCGGTGAGAGCAGGCCCTGCCCAGCTGGGAACCTTGGTCCGCGGCTCCAACTCCTGGGCTCTGCTCCCAGACGAGCCTGACCAGAAGGTGACTACTGACGAACCAGGCACAGGAGGGCTCTTTCCAGAGGGGACAATTCCAGGGCCCCTGGTGGGAGGGCGGGCCGCCAGCGCTGACCGAGGGCGCTTCGGTGGAGCCGGGACGGGGTGCAACAGGGCAAAAGCCCGCGGTGACCGGCGCCCCATCCTGCCTGCTTCAGAAAAAGAGCGCGGCGGGGAACCCAAGGGGCCCGAGGACAGCGGTGCCGGCGGCGCGGGCTGCGGCGGTGCCGAGGACCCGGCCAAGAAGAAGAAGCAGCGGCGGCAACGCACGCACTTCACAAGTCAGCAACTGCAAGAGCTGGAGGCCACGTTCCAGAGGAACCGCTACCCGGACATGAGCATGCGGGAGGAGATCGCCGTGTGGACCAACCTCACCGAGCCACGCGTGAGGGTGAGCGCGGGGTGTGCGCTTAAGGGGACCCGCGCAGAAGGCTGCCAGCCGGCCCAGCGCAGACCTTGAAAGCTTAGACCCGCGCCCAGACTAACACTCTTTCCAACAGTCAGACCTTCTCCCTCCCTCCACCGGAGGAGATTCCACCTTAGGCCCTGTCTACCCAGCTGCTGCTGAGCCGTTTGGTGCTAGCGCCCAACGGCTGCTGCCTCCTCGGATCTTTCTGACCCACATCCTACCTGACCCTCTGGCTCCACCGCAGCCCCCATCCAAAGGCGTGTGGCCCCAAGGGAAGTTCCCCTGCCCAGTATAGCCCAGAGCCCGCCCGCCCGGACGTTACCACCCTAGACTGTGCCGAGGATTCCCCGTCGCTGGGGACCTCAGAGCCGCTAGTGCCTTCTCGCAAAAACGAAACGGAAAGGCAGAACCTGTCTGGCAGTCTGAGAGAGGCCTGAGTAGAGCCCAGGCTTGGGGGTCTCAAAACTTCCTGGGGCAGCAGTCCCATCCGCAGTTGGCTAATTCACGATCTCAGGATATTCTCCACCTGACTGTTTCTCAGTCATCAGCCAGCCTGTAGCTGAACCCTTTCCCTAATGCCCTTTCCTGTAGGGCTGGGGTCAGGTGGGAGGTGGGCGACAAATCTGGTGGATGAGTGAGCTTCAGGAGGAATCCCTTTGGAGATCTAAGGTCTTCAGCCCAAGACTAGACTGCACACTCGCTCTTCTCACCCCTCGGTTCCCAGTGAATACATGGCTTTTCTGCCAGAGCAGCAAGAGAGTAATTTCTTCTCTGGGTACTGCAAACATTTAATCAGATGTTGGGAGCACGTCCCAAACTAAACCAAAGTCCCACCGGGGCCACAGACTCCCTGCTATAACCTCAGCTCTCACCCCACCTCAGTCAGGCTGGCCAGCCCAGTTGGATAGGGAGTGAAGACAGCGCTCAGTAATCCAGAACTCACTAATCCTGCCCCCCGGTTTATGGTGGTAGGGGTGGGGTGGGGGAAGGAATCAGGCAATGTTAGTGCTTGGGATGAAGAAGGCTGACATGCAGGGATCCGGCAAGAAAGGTCGGGGGAACAGCCCAGGGCAAGGACTGGGATTTGGGAAGAAAAGAGGTTCTTAACTGAATTTTGTGGAGAAAAGTAGAGGGGGAGAGCAGAGAGAAACTAGTAAGAAGTGAAAGGAAATTAAATATTTGCAGAAAAACATATTTGGCATATATTTAGGTGGCAGGAAAGAAATTAAATATTTAAGGGAGAAGCAAAAGGATCAAGTATTTGAGAAAAATAAAGAATCGACTATTTAAGAGAAAACAGTGAGGGTCAGATATTTGGAAAGAAGGAAAAAAATAAATATTTGGAGAAGAATCAAAAGGATCAGAAATGGGGGATAACACAGAAAAATGGACTGTCTGAGGGAGAAAAAAAGTGGTTCAGATATCGGGGTGGACCAAATGAAAATAAACATTTGGGACAGAAATTAGAATATCAAATATTACCAATAAAGATGGAAACAGACTATCTGAGGAATGAAAAATAGACCGAGGAGTCGCAAGGTCCTATGTTGCAGGGAAGAAAACTACCTTTGTTGTTGGAGAAGAAAATGGACGGGGTATTTAGGAGATAGATGGGGAACCGTTTACGGGAGAAGGAACAAGATGACCTGGTTGAGAAGAGGAGGAAAGAAAACAAATATTTGTTATTTAAAAAAAAAAAAAACCAAGAGGATCCCCCCTTAGGAGAAGAAACCGGATTTAATTAGGGGAAGAGGATAAAGATCAGAAAAAAAGAAAAGACTAGTAATATTTTCTGGGGACAGGAAAGGAACCATTATGGGGAGAAGGCAGGGGTGGAAATATTGAAGAAAAGAAACGGTATTGGGGAGAAGGAAGCGGGCTGGAGCCTCGGGGTGGGGCGGGGGCGGTGGGGGCGCCTTCCCCGCCCGGCAGCCCTGACCCTTCTTCGGTCCCCCTCGCCTAGGTCTGGTTCAAGAACCGGCGAGCCAAGTGGCGGAAACGCGAGCGTAACCAGCAGCTGGACCTGTGCAAGGGCGGCTACGTGCCGCAGTTCAGCGGCTTGGTGCAGCCCTACGACGACGTGTACGCCGCGGGGTACTCCTACAACAACTGGGCCGCCAAGAGCCTGGCGCCAGCGCCTCTCTCCACCAAGAGCTTCACCTTCTTCAACTCCATGAGCCCGCTGTCGTCGCAGTCCATGTTCTCGGCCCCCAGCTCCATCTCCTCCATGACCATGCCTTCGAGCATGGGCCCGGGCGCCGTGCCCGGCATGCCCAACTCGGGCCTCAACAACATCAACAACCTCACCGGCTCCTCGCTTAACTCGGCCATGTCGCCGGGCGCCTGCCCGTATGGCACACCCGCCTCGCCCTACAGCGTCTACCGGGACACGTGCAACTCGAGCCTGGCCAGCCTGCGGCTCAAGTCTAAGCAGCACTCGTCTTTCGGCTACGGCGGCCTGCAGGGCCCGGCCTCGGGCCTCAATGCGTGCCAGTACAACAGCTGACCGCCCAGCCGAGCCACGCGGGCCGGCGGCCGGAACGGCGCTGGGGTCGGGGCCGGGACCCGGACGGGCGCGGAGGACCTGGCTCCTGAGCCACCCTCTGCTCCCCACCTCCCCACCTCCGGCTTGGTTTTGTGTTTGCTTTCCTGGACCTCACTCTGCCCTCCAAAACGAGACAAAACAAAAAAAGACGTCGGAGAAAAGTGCCGCGAAAAAAAAACGGATGAGTTGCAATTTCCCTCGGGATGGCGCGGGTGGTGCACGTTCGCTCGCTTGGGGCCCAGGTGGGCCACTCCGCGGAGGGGACGCGGCGCGGGAGGCGAGCGCCCAGACCCGCGGCCCGGAGGAGACGCCCCCGTGGCCCGCGTTCCCGCCGCGCTGGACCCAGACTGAGCGGCCGCGCCTGTGAACTGGGGCGCGGAGCCCAGGCAAGCCTGGGCCCCGGCCAGGTGGGAACCAAGACGCCCCCTCCGAGCTGGGCCCGGCTGAGCATACCTTATAGCTCGATCCGGATCCAAGTTGGAGCGGGCGTTGAGCCGGGGATGATGGTACCCAGCCCAGGGTCGGGAACTCGCCGCGGAGCCGTACTAATGGCCCCAGCGCGCCTCGAGGAACCCTCGCCTGCCCCGTGCCCCGGAGTCCTATTTTAAGGCCAAGGAGCGGCAGCTGGCGGTGCGGTCGAGGCGGGAGTGTGCTGAGTGCTTGTCTCCGAGCATCCCAGCCCCCAAGCTTTGCCGCAGACCCAGGCCCTCCGCTCGGCTCCCCCCGGGGCTAGGAAGGGCCCCCCTTTCCCGGCGAAGAGCCCCCTCCTCACCGCCCGCCGTGCAAGAGTCGAGCCGGGAGAGCTCGGGGCGCGGCCAGGGCCCCAGCCGCGCCCACTTTGCACACCCGCTCTCCGGCCCGCGCCCCTGTTTACAGCGTCCCTGTGTATGTCGGACTGACTGTATAGAATTATAAATCTGTCTATATCGACTTGTCCATGTACGTCTATTAAAAACCATAGTACGAGCGTGCTAACCACTGCCGAGCCCTGACTGCTTCATTCGGTCGAGAAGGGAGGCGGGTAGAAAGGGAAATGGGCCCCCGTGGGCTCTGCTGGTAGGAGGGAAGAGCCGAGGCCGACCCCGCCAGAGGACCCTACCCCCACTTCCCCGCCACCATTCATGGCCTGTTCAGCCCGGCTCCCTTGAGGACGCGGTTGGGCGCTACCAACTCCGTCTCCGAGCACGCGCGCCCCAGAATCAATCGACTGAGCCCCTCTGCCTCCCGCGCTGCGCGGGATGTCCCAGCCTGGCCCGACCGCCAGATTCTGCAGGTTCTTCTCAGGCTGGGTCTGAATGCCCTTTCAGCCTCTTAGGGTGGTGCGCAGACGTTGTCTGCCGGGAACCTTGGGGTGGGAGCCGCTAAGAGTTTCTTTAGGCCTGGGGTTGCCTTTTCTCTCATAGGCCCGGTGCCCGCACTGGGAGCTCTGCTCTCGCTGTTCGGGAGGACCGAGGGTGCTGGATCCGCCAGTCTAGGCAGGGCCTCCCTCTGCCTTTCCACATCGAAATCCCACCCAGGGGCATATGGCTGTTCCGGTGAAAGTGTCCACCACGCACAACCCATTTCTCACTTCCCTTCCATCCCAACGTATCTGTGGCTCCCAGCGCCGCCACCCTCCCCCACTTTTGGAAACTACTGAACAAGACCAGCCTGTAAACTGCCTGTAAAATTCTGCTTCCCTTAAGTAAGTCATTTCTAATGGCAAAACAAAATGTTTGCAGCTGCAGCGGGTGAGGAAGGAGGGGTTGGTATTCTGCTTTAGAGTCACCTTGTGATGGGCAATGCCCTGGGGCCGGGCCCAGGCAAGCCCTAGCTGGGGATGGGGTATGGCCATGGGCTTCGTCATGGGTTAATAGCTGGAGAGCCCTGTGCACACATTCCCAGACCGGGTCAGTACTGACTCTGAGGTCAGGAGTGTTGGCCCTACTATACCGATGATGGAACTAGGGCTCCATCACACTATGCAGTGGGCCAAGGTCACACGGATTCCAAAGTCAAGCATCTTTCCATGGTCTTCTCACCTTCAGAGGAGGAGTAAGGAGGGTCCTTCCTGCGAGATGGCTCAGCCTGATGCTGTAGGACTTGGAGTGCTGGGTTCTGAGAAGGCCAGGGCCAGATACACAGGCTGGGGGAGGGGGGTGGGGGAAGGGAAGGTTGGGGCGGGGGGCTGGAGCCAGACCACCCCTCCCCCAACGGCTCCAGTCCAGAGCTCCGACCCCTCACTCTCTGGAAACATAAACACAATCACATCTGGACTCAGAGTGCCTCCCCGCCTCACACATCTGCCAAGGCCAGGGGGCCCTGGTCTCAGCTGAGGGCAGGAGGCAGGGGAGACCTAGAAGGAGGTGGGACTAGAGGGAAGTGGGAGGCAGAGAGGCCCCTCTGAACGTCAGGCTCAGCCTCAGGTGAGAGGAGGGCCGAAGAGGGGCTCTGGTGGAGACTTAATGTGGCTGTGGGGCCACAGGCCAAAGAGCTTCAGCTGAGAGGAGAGGCAAGAGCCGAACGACCCCACTGTCCTATCAGGGACCATGGCAGAGGTGAGCACAGGACCCAGCCTTGGGCCCCACCCAGCTATTCTGACCTAGGGAACTCTGGCTGCAGGGAGTAGCCAGCTCTCCCCAGCTACATCAGCTGCAGGATCATCTCTGGAGGGACTGCTGAGGAATATGCAGGGTTCTGAGAGCCAAGTCCTCTGAGAAATGGCAGAAAGTGCTAGTCTTGCTCTGTCTGAAGAGGACTGGGGAGGTTCATTCAACATTTACTGCACTCTTGCCCCTGGTGCTGGGGATGGAGAACTAGGAAACAGACACAGTCCCTGCTCTCATGGACAAGTAAACAAACATGTATAATTACAAACTGAGCTGAGTGCTTTTGAAGAAAAAGAACAGGGTGTTGTGAGTAAGAAGAAAAAAAAAAAAGAAAGTCCTGCCTCAAACAGGATAGCCAGGCAAGGCTTTTCAGTGGAGGTGACCCCATCTCTGTCTTTAGTGGCAAGTATTATCATTTACTGGGCCCTTCGGGGTCTAGAGCCCCCTGCACTTCTCGTAGATGAGCATCCTTACCTGCACAGCAGCCCTGCAAGAAGGATCCTCATTGTCCCCTCTCCCCGATGAGGCCCCAGAGGCTTAAAGAGCTCATACAGTAGGAGTGATGGAGTGGATTCAAACCCTGTCACTCCCCACTCTGCACAAGGCTACTACATGCCCTTTACCATGGACAACTTCAGGGGCAGGGGATGCTGTCTGATCTTAAAGAGATCATAATTTCTGCCAGCAACATAGGACTTGTTCAGTCGTTAAGTGTCCAGCTCTTTGTGACCCCATGGATTGCAGCATGCCAGGCTCCCCTATCCTTCACTGTCTCCCAGAATTTGTTCCAATTAATGTCCACTGAGTCGATGATGCTATATCTAACCATCTCATCGTTTGCCACCCCCTTCTCCTTTTGCCTCCGATCTTTCCAAGCATCAGGATCTTTTCCAATGAGTCAGCTTCTCGCATCAGGTGGCCAGAGTAACATAGGACTGGCCCTCAGAAAACACAAGGCAGACTTGTTCTTACCTGATCCTAACAAAGTGAACCCTAAAGGGCTGCTACAGGCTTAGGCCATAAATTAGGGATTGGGGGACAAGAGGCTGGTGCCCAGCACTGACTTGAAGGCACAATGGGCACCAAAGGAGAGTTGGGTGAGCCACTGTGTGTAACCCCCATAGTGCCTGGTCATTGAGGGAAAGGAACTGAGTCACCTTCCCTAGATTTACGGCCACAGTCAGACTGCAGGCCTCCATCTGGGCCACCTGAGTCATCTGGAGGGGGAGGGGGATCACAGCTGGAAAGGCTGCCTTGCAGGGGGCACTGCCTGAGGAGTCCAAGTCCTGGAGGTGGCTCTAGGTGGCCCTTCACTCCACATGCCTCAGCCTGCTGCCGCTCCCTGGTAAGATAGTAACAGGGCCTCAGTCACCAAGAGGGTGAGTCTGGGAAATGAGAATGAGGGTGGTTTTCTGCCCAGGGACCTCCCCTTCTCCTGGGGTGCTTACTTGGCTCTGGCATCCATGGGAACTTTTGCTGTGGTCTTTGAAAGCAGGAGTTTGAGTTCCAGCTCTACCTCTGAGTTGCCTTGGGCAACAGAGTTAAGGTCTCTGAGGCTGTTTCCTCATTAGTGAAACGGAATAACAACAATCACTCCACACAGTTGTCTAAAGGAGTAAATGACATCATGCACATAAAGTATTATCTGTGCTGCTGGCATATAGTAAGTGCTCAATAATTTGTTGCTTTTGATGGAATTGTGATTGTAGATGCTATTGTTATTATTAAAGTGAGCTGTCCTGCCTCTTCTCCTGAGGGCCCTGTCCCCCACTTTCCACATTATTGGGGCTTTGGTAAGTTCGTCAACAGGTTATTTCTGAAAATGTCATTTAGGACCCACCTTGGTTTTCCCTCAGGCTTCACTGAATGCCATGAACGTGAGTCATGATTGACAGTCCTACTGATTCCCCCACCTGCCCCACCTTCCCCACTCCATCCCACCCCTCGGAGCCCAGTCTGTTGTCCTGTGGTCCAGTCTTCCCACCACACTCCATGGGCACACCCTGGGAGACCCAGAGGAACCAGGCCCAATTCCTGCTGTCCACTGGGCATGTGGAGGAGAACATGGGCTGGGCCAGTCAGCACTCTGAGAGATGAGCGTCAGGAACAGAGGGGCACACGCCCAGAATTCTCCCCGAAGGGCTCCCTGCAATGGGGGATGAAGACGCCCAAACACTTCTTTTTGTGTTACTTCATTTTACCGACAGCCAACTTCATTTTACCAACAGCCAATCAGGCCCTGACTGAGTGCTGCATCCCCATGCAAGCACTGTATAAGAATTAGGTAGTATACAAGCATTCGCTCCTCACAGCAGGGAAGGGCTTGCTAGTCTTACACTGGGAGAAACTGAAGCTCAGAGAGAACCGAAAGCTCATCCAAGATGGCCCAGCTCATGGAGAAAAGGGCCAGGACCTGCACCCCTGCCCTCTGCCCGGGGCCCAGGTGCCATCCACGGCCCTGTACACCCTCCTGACTGGAAGCACATTTGTACTGCGCTGAGGAGTGAGGGGTGGGGTGTGGAGGAGGGAAACAATTATAAT